GCTGCAAGTTGATACATCAATCATGGCCGGGTGGAAGACTTCACATGCAGTTACTACACAATCAACGGTGGACACGGTGTTGATATATAGCTCATATAATACTTATAAATCTTTAACCATGTAAACTTCGAGACGTGCACTCATGTTGTGCAGATGTGCAGACTTTTTCACACATGCAAACCTGGAAATGTGAAGAAAATTTAAGGCAGCCTGCGTTCTAACAACAACTCATCCTGAATTCACATGGAAAATTCACTAAAGGGCTGGCAGAAAAAATTCTTGGTAAAGTCATTGTGAATATATATTAGGAAAAGGAAAAGCCAAACGTCTGTGTGTGTGTGTTTATCAGACATTCTGTACTGTGTGTCAGGAAGAGACCTTTCCACAGCTCAGCGACAACATGTCTGATCATCTCAGCTTTAGATCCACTTAACCTGAAGACCTGTTTTAAACCTGTATATGATCTTCACTGCAGACTACAGTTTTGAACGTCTACGTTGGAGGTGCTCTGTGAGGAGCTGATGAGTTCAAACACTTACTTTAAAAGCGCTACTACACTCCAGAGTAACCTCCATCTTAACCTTCACAGTCACTTTTATTCATTGAGAATTCCCCGCAGTTTACAGAGGACTTTAATCATTCAATTAAAAAAAATATAGTTAGCGTTCAAAAGCCTTTGATTCAAACTTCCTCAACTGGATTGTTGGTTTTGTTTTAAATAGAATAAACAGTTCTCTGTCTGAATCAAAGTCCTCTCTTCAAATCCTTTGCCTTGAACTCCTTTACTTACTATAATTAATAATGTGCTACTATTTGTAGTTTTAGTCCGTCCCAAATCCAACCACTAACTTTTGCACTTTTATTGAAATAGATAAAGTTGACAACACTTAGGTTACTTTGATGGTGGATTTTCAAGATGGCTTTTTAGATTCTTTTTTTACAGTTAAAGCAGTTTGTCACGCGATAATCTTAAAAGCAAACAAACACAAAATCCCCGTCTACAATGGCTTCTGCTTCCTCATCCGAACACTAAAACCAAGACACCAAGACGAGGTCCCATCGGAGAAAGTCCAACAATCTGACTAAAGACTAAACGAGACCAAACACAGGATAAAAACTGTCACTAGAAGTTTTAACCCACAGACACTTCTGAGGTCTACTACTAAAACTTGCAAACAGCCCTGCATGTGTAAAACAAGTGTAGAGACAAACTGAGTGAGAGTTGAAGCCCAACTAATTATCTGCTGAATGGCTGGTTTACCAGGCGATTGTTACATGAGAGAATGAATGGCTCGAGGGGCTGAAAAACTTTGCCTCCCCCCCCCCCTCCTCCTCTCTTATAAATTGGTGCCTCCTTTCACTGTTTCAAGCTGAGGAATTCCAAGAGGTTGCTGAGGCGAGAACCATTGGGAATGTGCCGATCTGACCCTCTTGGAGGAACAAAAATTGTGAGTAAGCGTTTTGGCGAAACCATGCCGAACCACTGAAATCCTACATGAGGAGGGGGGGGTGTGTGATGGGACACAGGGCTTACAGGGTTCGTAATGTACCCTATGATGAGAGAGGGGAGGCCCTGATGAGTTTATCCACTCACTCTACCCTGCTTTGATGTCGCCGCGGCTTTACGTGTGTGGTTGGCCCTGCGGTAAGACAGCCAGAGTAATCACAGATTAATAGAGCAGGGTAATCTCATTCACAAAGAGGTCACTATACTAGCAGACAGAACACCCCTCCCCCAGCTACACCCGAGCATTGTGAGCCGCTTGCAAAAAAGGCTAAAGGACTACAACTAGCCAAACCCCCTCTACATTTATTGAAGAGATCATTCATTTCAGGTCTGCTGAAAAGACATTTAAACAACAATAAACACCAAACACATTATCTAAACCTTTTTACTTTGCAGAAATTCAGACACATATTTATCTGATAAAATCTATAGGATGTGATAATGGAGGCTTTTTTTGCAATTGAAACCTAGATTTTGCTGCTGTCATTAAGATCAAAGTGTGTTACATTTAGTTTTGCCCTTATAGGCACTTAAATTAACAAACTAACACCTTCAACTGTTGGAGGCAATTCATCAAAGCTACGACCTCTTCCGGACCAAAGTTGACTGTGAACATCGATTTTGCCGCTGCTGAAGTCAGCTTCCCTCAGCACAATTTCCCTCTCAATTTTCTCCCATGTTCACGATCAGAGTTTAGATGACATAAGAGAAATGTAATATCGCTTGATGGCACAGTGAGTCAGAGCCAAGACAAGTTAGGCCTGGTTAAAACGGGACACCTAATCTGATTTACTTATTAGTGCTCACCCGCTGACCTAATGTCCTCTATGGCAAACAGCCCTGCTCGCAACCAGCAGAGATGTTACTCTCCGTCAATCCACACTTTGAACATGCTTTTTCATGGATTTTACAAAACACAAGATGTGACTTTAGAGAAAAAAACACTTGGCTTCCCTGGAAACATTTGTCATCTAAAGCCGAATGTTCCTGAATACATACGGCTGCATTCTCAGGACAGCTCACCCCCAACATCAAGCGGAAAATTACATGCTGGAAGGAACAACTCTGGTGGCATGTGGATGTGTAAAATGTGTCTGTTAGTGTAAAATGCGTCTGTTTGCGTTCACACGTGCAGCTCTCCCTGAACATTTCAGGATGTTTTGAGGGGTTTTGTTCATATGTGAAAGCTCCATTACAAAACTTGGCAAAGATTGGAGACTAAACAAAAGGTGGAACAGTCTTGAGGCATCTACAGTGCCATTTTCCCTATGTGGCTATATTATAACTGCTAATCAAAATGGCTTTAAATTGGTTAGTTTGTTATTGACAAACACAGGGTGAGGGGGGATATTACAGGGGATTAGGGTCAGGTTGTAACTATAAAGTGTATATACATATGGACAGTGAGCCTCAGCCCCCTCCTGTTGAACAGGATGAAGCCAGAATCTCCCCATGCTGGCGCTGACATATTGTGAATTTGCAACCAGAGTCTGCCTAGTAGGATTTGGCTGAAAGAGCAGCAGTACAGACATCACACATCCGCCAACGAAAACAAACATTTGATTTCCAGATAAAAATGACAAAGATCCCTCAGGTGGAGAGCTTCTTGTGTCGGTTTGAAGCAGACACTTGTGGAAATTCAATGACTCTTGTGTTGGAGACGCTCACGTTTTCTCTCGCAGTTTCTGCTATACTCTACTCTGTTAATCTGGTGCACACGGATCTGCAGGAGCCCAATTTGTCAACTGAGCTGTTAATCATGGCATTTTATACCATTTTAAAGCATCAATTCAACAATCAACAAAAGACGTGTGATGACTTTAACAAAAAAATACAAATAACTATCATGACAAAACAAGGTTTGAGAAAATTGATCTGACATGCATGTTTTCCCCATGCCCTATCTGTTAATATAGAAGATATAGTCAGCAGGGGGAACTCTACATCTTTAGGCTTCACTCCCAGGCAGCTGTTGCTCCGTCCATCATAATATACAATCTATTGTTGTAACACTACACTCAATTAATTTAGAATTCAGTTTATTCAATCTACTCTGTCACAAAAGCTTATCTACTGTCTAAGATTTATACTCCTCAAAGACTCGTCTGTCTTTGTTTTTGGATGACTGACCTGCTGCCACCATCCCAGCCCAGTTATGTGACATATTCTCCCCTTTCCCCTGCTCTCTGCAACCCCGCTGGAAATCAGGGGAACTGGGCTTTTTCCCCATGAGGCCCTGTGGGAGTATCCTTTAAAAGCCAGACAGGGCTTTCTCTCTCATCCTCCTCGACTGGGGCCTCAACTCGAAAGAGCTTTGCAGGAGAAAGCCTCCTCTTTGCTTCGCATAAGACTCTCTCACTTTCTATGGGTATCTCAGCTCAAAATATTCATGCATACACACAGGTAGATAATTGTCCATGAAATGCACTTTGGGATGCTGCCTGGACTGGAGTACATGCTTCCAAAAGACTTCTGTTGCAGGAAATTATTCAGACACAGAATCAATTGGCAATCTTATCTAAGTCCGTAAAGCAGGACCTGAGATTTGATTTAGCATTAAGTAGAATTAGAACATTTGGCGGAGGGACTTAATTGCAGGCGCAGAATGATTCCTCCTCCCATGGCTGACATAAGAGTGACACTGCATGATTTGAAGCCTCATATTACCCAAGATATAAAACCCACAGATGCCATAAATCAAAAAAAGAGGCAGACACGAGTGAAAATTCAAACAATATGTGGCTCTGGCTTAATGTCCAAGTCAACTTAAGCACACAGAAGCAATTGCACAACCCTGCTGTAACTAAAAACAGGTGGTACCCACAAATCAAAAAAAGTGTAAAGAAGCATGAAATATTCCTGATATCTGCCGAGCTGCTGACATGCCTATACATCTTCATTCCCGTCCAGCTTCAGCATGCTTTTTCGTCAGCTTGATAACAACATTTAGCAGTATACATATGTCCCAATAATCCATCACTTGCACCACAATGACTCTTCTGTGTAAGGCATGAACTCGTCTCTGATACTGTAGTTTTTTTTGTGTGTGAGTGTGATGAATGGATTATGCTGCTGTACACACTTAGTCTAGAACAGAAGAAGAAGAAGAAAGAACATCCATTCAGTCGTGGGTGTGACATTAAAGTCAAAGTTTATGTATTTAATGGAGTGTTATATTTAAAAGAAAGGTTGTTTTTTTTAACTAGTTATAGGGAACCAAGTTCTGAACAATGCAGAGAACTGTGAAATAATGTAAACGAATTAGTCTCTTTTGATCTCTGCAATAATAAAAAGACCAATTTAAAACTAATCCAACAAAATAGGTTTTTATAGGTTCTTTAATGGAGTACCAGGACCTTATAAAAGTGTGGTTTCAAACATGAGTGGATGTATCATGAAATGCTGCCAAAAGTGCACACAGACACTTTGAGCCCTGGACAGGCCGGCATGGCCAGATGGTCTGAGACACTGGTTGAGAAAATTTGAGTCTTACCTGCTGATTTTGGAGTGAACTTGTCCCTGTTGGCAGCGCACACAGCCAGGAGCCGGTAGCCCAGGTCCAAGTCATAGCCCTGCTGCGCTGCTACACGGCTGACCACCTGAACACAAACGACAGCGAGAGGCAATCGGTCAGGACAGTGATAGGTTGTGTTATGGTCTGAGGTTTTACATGTAAAGGACACCCTTGAAGACTTTCTTTTTGAAAAGATAGGCAAGCTCTTTTTTGAAAAACTTGTGGAAATGTCTGAAATCACATAAATGTTATTCCTTGGCTCCGTCAGCGACTGACATAAAAAGAAGGACAACATTTCAATGAATCCATTCTTCTTCTAATTAAACAGCTCATTTTATTATAAACTTTCCAAAAACCAATAGACTTTTCAGACAAAGTTTTTTGAAGGTTTATCAGTTCAAGTGTCATTGATATCCGCTTATTCTATTCCACTTGATCCAACCTTAAGTCCCAGAAAGAAGGTCACAAAAATGCCAACTCCATGATTGGTGCAAAGGACCACAGTAAATAGAAAAAAGTGCATAACTGTTTCAAGGCTGCATCATCCTCAATTTTGCTATCATTGAAAAATCATTGAATCCAGAGGTCACTTAGCTGGACAACAATAATTAAAGCTCCTGTCTGAAGATTTCTGTTTGTGTCCATTTTGGCGCCATCTGTGGACAAAGTGATACATTTGATCTCTTTGCTGATCTTGTCCTGCGCATGAGTATTTGGGTACCGGTAAGCATTGTTTAAAAAATAAAAAATAAAAAAATTAATAAAAACCTTCAACTTTCAAATTAATCCCTCATTGAGAATCTCTGATGCAGGAAGAGGCAGCAGTAAGACACCTACCCCCCCCCTCCCCGCACCATTTCAGACATTAAAATGACTATCTAGAAACAATGATCTTTATGTTTATGGTCTTGTTTGCATTTGTTTTGGTCACAAAGAGACATCTTTATTAATTTCAGTCTGTTTAATAACCAGTTAAAAACTCCTCACAGGTTCTTTAAGGGATCATCCTTATGTTTAAACTTGTCAGAAAGACTTCTAACAGATACATAAGAGGGAACTTCGGCAGCATCAAAGCCCCACTGCAAGTTTACCAGTTCCATATGAGTCAATGGACAGCAAGACGATTTCAAAATGTGGCCTCCAGTGCAGCAGTACCTACTGAGAGGAAACATTAAGAGAAACGTCCACATGCCACAGGAGGGGATGTAAATCAGCCTGATGTGGGACATGTTGCTTTGATTTACATTCACCACTATCAGCTCAAAGAGACCCGCTCAGGCCATTAAGACCTTTAGGACATACTGAAGCCTGTGAGGACTATCGCGCCTCACTAGAAACAGATTTTTATCCATGCCTGGGTTTTTCAGGGCTGCGGTCCTGCTGTCAGACTCAGAAGTTCAAGACAGGCCCGAGGGTAGTACAGCTGAATGCCGCTTCCTACACCATGTCATTATCTCCTGTAAGTATAGTCCTGACCTGACACCAAAACAGAGTATGTATATATCTGGTCTTTATTTATAGGAATCCCCCATTAAGAAAAAGATATATGTGCATATGCTGTCTAATTAGAATCTAAACTTGTGAGGGATATTTTGCTAAATGGTAATTCTAGTGTTAGCAGTCACAACTAGTAGTTCTAATTTCAGGGCTCAAATTGTACACCATCCATGGGGTTGTGGTGGTGGATTGTCTGCTACACACATTGTAGGCAAGGCTCAATGAAACTTAAGATCAGGTCAAAATTGTATTAAGACAATAATAAATTATTCAGCTTTTTGGAAAAAGAGGTGAATTCTTCTGCTTCTTTGCACCTCATAGCAAGAGGCGTCAACTGCCACGATAACCTCAACGAGATTCACATTTTGCACATTTTTCTTTACCTGCATATATTTTAAGATTTTGCTTCTTTTGGGCATTCCCAAATCTATTTGTTTTTTTATGTTTGGAAATTTGTCAGATAACCATTAAAAATCCACTTCAGGCTTCTTAAACTAAAACATAGATTTTAAGATAAGATAATATTAACTTTATTGTCCCAGTGGGAAATTTGCAAACATACTGTAGAAAAAGAGAAGCCAGTGACCTTGAATATTTAAAAAAAACCAAAAAAAAACCAGTTTCTAACAGTTTGATATATTTTATTGGAAACAATCAAATATTATCATGAAAAAAGAGTTCATTTGGCGCCGTGTTAAGGCTTCTACATTGCAAAAAGGGAAATTTAACTCCTGAAACTTTGCTGAATATAAGCATTTAAGTGTTTGCAACCATTGCATTAAATTTCTAAAGTTCTAAATACCCTGCTCTTTGAAATGTTTAAAAAAAATGGTCATCCATGCTTCATATTGGTTTGATTAGTAGTCTTATTTAAAGAAAATCTAATTTGTGCTCATCGTTGACAAGATTATCCTCTGAAATCATAGCAAATTTCTTCTGATTGCAAAATATTTATCTGTGTACAGAAGAAGTTTTTTTGTACTGAAGCCACTTGCCTGACGTTACCAAATGTCAACGTGCACACAGCAGAGTGAAGTGTTTACCATTACAGTCTGAGGCCGGGTAATTTCACAATCACATCAGACTCTCTGTGCTCCCTCCCCGTGTGGCTTGAGTTGAAGGTCTGTACAACCCATAAACTAAAAGGAAAAGCCTTGAGATATTCTCGGTAGGAAACAAATTGAATTGGCAAAAATGGAGGAAAAAGAACCTGCTGCTGCACATTAAAGCGGTTACACAAACAATCACTTGAATGGAAGGATGTGTCACAGTGGTTTCACTGCAGTGCTCAAGTACAAATCTTTCAGGTTCCTTTGCTTCTTGTAGCTAAGCTCGCTCGACCATGTTACAAACTGCACCCAGAAGAAGCTATGTGGATCTCTTATCTACTGCTGCAGGCAGTATGTGCATGTTAATGCACATTGTGGCCCTGGGTGAAAGGTGAGTGACACATCTGAAGACCGTTCATTGTTATACTTTACTGTTCTGTGCCTTTGCCAACAAATAATGTAATCCCATCATCCAGAAAGTGTCCTGTTGACATTGAATATTCAGAGGAGGTATTAATCAAAAAGCTACTAGAAAAATCTAACACATACTCGCCCTTGCTGATTGGAAAAGCTAATCAAAACAGTGTATGGCTAATTAAACAACAGATTGCTGTTAGCTTCTTAACACTTGCAACCAACACAAGCTTGTAGAGACCATTTGTCACAGCAACAGTTTAAGTTATTTTACCTTTGCTAACGCTGGTTGGGGCAAGAAACAAAAAAATATTTGGTATTCAGTTTGTAGTTAGCTCATGACACAAAAGTCTGATGTTAGCACAGTTAGCTTTCAAACTTTTCTTCTGACTTCTGACACCCAAAAAGCTAACATGGTTCTACAAAGAAAGAACAAGCTAACCCCACTAGCAAACTGCACTATGTTAGCCATGTATTTTGGTATGGTGTACTTTATAAAATACTGTTATTTTTCTGACTGTTCAGAACCTTAAATATACTATTTTTCCAAATATTTACTAAAATATAGCAAAGTGCACTGCTTTAAATTATCACTTCGACAGTTCAATTTGCTAAGATTCTTCTGGCAAAGAACGTTCAGAAGCTCTGTTTTTAAACGTTTAGCAGTTAGCGAACAAAACAACAGTTAGCTTTAGCTATTAAAGTTTCTTAACTTTTCGTTTGTCACCTAAATGAGCTAACAAAGTTCTACAAAGGTAGGCAGCTGGGCTAGCATAATGCTGTGTACACTTTATAGCTTCTTTTACTAATGTTGTTTATCAGCAAACAAACTATGTATTTTGTCGCATACATGAATATGTAGAGCACTGACAATAGGATGAAACTATGGCACTTCATTTTTCATGTTTTTGAGAAGTTTCTTACTTGACATTGTCATGACATTGCATTATCTTTGGAATTATCTGTATTTTATGTATACCAACAGCAGGCAACTTTTAAGCAATATAGTGCAACTTTATCTCCATTTCTGGTAATTCCCCTTTAATTAACTTTGAAGAGGAATGATAGTTCAAAATTGTCGCATTACAAGGATATGAACTTCTCTTTGTGGATTTGTCTCACATTGCCAACTCAAATATGCTGATCTTTTTGAAAATTATCTTCATGGTTTAAGTCACTCTGGCCAAACTCCCTCTTTGTTTACAGTCTCCAAACAGTCGAGTCTTTTTTTTTTTCAAATGTCATGGGATACTAATTATTCAATTACTGTGTGAAGCCCCCAGGCGTTTCAGGAAGGGAATACAGGGCTCTGTGTGTTGTGTATTTTCCTGTAAGCACTGATTGCTTTGTGGTTTGAGGACGTTATTGCACTCCTTTTCATGTTCCAGTGTGCTGATTTCATGAGCCACAGCACAAACTGTAACGGAAGTCTCTGAAAGGTGACTAAATCTCCGTAGGTTCTAAGGTTTTTTTTTTTTTTTTCCAGAGACCTCAGTGAAGATCAGACAGCTAAACACTAGTTCCCTCCAATATTCCAGAGGGAGTTATGGAAAAGTCAATTCAGCAGCACTTTCATTGTCCTTGAACCTTCTAGAGTGAGACTGCAGAGGAGGGTCAGCATTGGCAACTTACCGTTAGACATCCCATCAGGCTTTGCTCGAAGGGGCGCTGGAAGGCTCGGGGGTCGCCACACCAGTCCAGCAACTCAGTCGCTGCCGTTTGGAAATTTGCTGGATTTTGTAAGTGCTGAGGGGGGAAAATGGAAAGAGAAATTAATTATTTCTACATGATGTTAACCATGTATCATTTCATTTGATATAACCAGGTGTGATTGTAAGATTAGATGGGAATGTGCTGGCTAATTGGGTTATTTTAAAATTACAACCAATCCTCCAAACGAGCAAAATGCATGCTTAGATGCCCAATAAAACAAGACATGCCCATAAACCCAAAAGATTCAATAATGTAAAGGTTGCCTGCAGAAGAATAAATGTAGTTATGAACTTTTTCAAACATAAAAATCAAACACAATCAATGTTGCATAAAAAAAATAATCAATAACTTCACATGATTTGTTCAAATGTTGGTCATAGCTGGCTTAAATCAAAGTTTTGACATGTCAGTTTAGTCATTATGATATTACACATCGACACATATGCTAGATAAAATTAAAATGAATGATGTTGTACAAGACTCCCAACTCGTATCCATCTATTTCCTTTAGAAAAAAAAACTATTTGCACATTCTTGTGCAAGTCAGGGAAGAACAGATACGATTATTAAATCTATATGTCAAAAAGACAACATAGGTGGAGGATGTGGCTGATGACCTGCTTAGCGTGCTGCCCCATATAACCCAGATAAGAGACAGAAAATGGACTGACAAATCATGAGCGAATACATTCATTTTGACACACCAAAAAGTCCCAACTCCAGTAACTTTCTGAATAATTAAAGCACTCTGAGTAGTTTATAAGAAAAATTATATATTCTTATGACCACTTTTGTAAAACATCTCTATAATGCATCTTGTCTATAAGATGCATTGTGTTGTAGGTTTTGGTAATAATGCACAGGGCAGGAGGGGTATGTCCCCCATTAAGCTTCCTCTTCCCTCTCCTCAGGTTTCTGTAGCAGCTCCTTGACACCGGGTGCAATAAATCTCCCTGTATGGCTGCATGAGTAGCCGAGGAAGGCCGTATTCCAGCATCCGGCCCTGAGCTGTTCTGTGACTTTATCTGACAACAGGCTCCTTGACCTACAGGCACCCCCTTTATGGCATTCATTCCCCAACTGAGCCCCAGCAGCCTCGCTCGCTAGCCCTGTTGTCTGTCACGCTGTAGAGCAGCAAAGGAAACTGAGAAAATAGACCACTCTGGGTCGCCATATTTGACTCACTGGTGGTGATTTCTTCTACAGCAGACACACAACACATCGGCTTTGCAGTAATCTATTGCCTTTGAGTAGATAATACACAAAAAGCTTTTGCAGTGTACAAACTAGGAACAAATGGACCCCGTATCCACGGCATCAAAGGTAAACAGAGAGGTTTGTCAGCTTAAAGTGAACGGCTGCTTTCTTAACACGTCTGTGTGCTTTGATTTCAAAGTCTGAGAAGAAGAGAAGAAGAGGAAGAAGAGACAGCTCTGTCTCGCCGTGCTTGTTTGTTGTTTGCTCTTTAGGGGGCAGCAGAGGTCAGGATTTGATAAGGCAGCTTTCATATCAATTTACAAAGCCAGTGTTTGACAGGGGCCGGATAAAACCAGTCTTGTTTATTCTATGTTCTGTCCAAAGCTTTTCCTATACGCGTCTTTGTTAGGGGGATACGATGTGCTTTAAGAGCATCTTCATTTCTAGCAGCGGGCTAAAATACTCCTGGAGAAGCACACACATCCACAGATGCTAAATTTAGATGAGTCTGGAAGCTAGACAACACACGCAATCAGCGCACAAGGATGGGAAGGGGGGGGATGAAAAAGGTTGGGGGGGGGGATATGTTGAGGAAGGGGAGGGAGAAAAAAAACACACACAGCACCAACACTTGGGCTTGAAGTGATTACTGTTCTCTGCACTCGGAACAATTGGTCCCACCAGTGTGGCTGTCACATGGAGAGCTTGGCACTGCCACGCCACAGATGTTCCCCCTTCTCCGGCCAAAACCCACCAATCAAACCTAAACTAGTGGCCAAGAGACCCCTCACTCCCCCCCCCCACCAAACCCTCTATCCTAGTCCCCCCGGGTGAGACAGTCCTCCAACATTTACGCTCCAGTCAAAGCTCTGCTCAGTTCGAGAGGAACAAAGATGGACAGAAGTGTCCTGAGAATACAGCTTTCTTCAGATACAATCAAGCTCTGTAGTCACGCCTGGAAACGACTTCATCTGCACATCTGCAGCAAAACTGACTGTGACAGCACACACGCTCTGGCAAAGACATCCTTTTCTTTTCCAAAATCACAGCTCTTGGCTGTGCTCCCGTTGTTGCTTTCCATGCAGAGACACTGCGAAGCTCTAAAAAAGATATTAATGCAGACAACTAACCCTGGAAAGAACACACAAAAAAACAACAACAACTGCATTGCTGTTCATTGCAGCAGCAGTACAGGGACTGTTGTTTTCCACTTTATCTTGAAATATTGACGCTTACTGTGTGAGGAAGTGCTCCTGCAGCGAGAGGAGAGTTCATAGTTTCCTCCGAAACCTCTGTACATATCACCGAGTGGAGAGTCTGACAGCTAACCGGCTTCCCCACAGTGAGAGGAAAACTACTCTTTCTCTCTCTCTCTCTGAAATAGATACCCGCCCGTATCAAGGAGCCCATCTCTTCCCCCCAAAGTGCTCACATCAGTGCAATTCCAGGGCGAGAGAGGAAAACAAACCGCCACCAAGAAAGTGTGTGTTTGGATTGAAATCAGATAACTGATTTTTTTTGTGTTGTTTTTTTTTTTTTTTTTTTGGAGGTTAAACAAGTGAACGCATTTATTTCACTGTATCGCTGTTAAAGATACAGTCCCTCGAGGTATTTTGCACACATACAATGACTACCTGTGTGGTTGAATTTTCCAAGTAGGAATAAAAAAAACAAAAAAACATGATTCTACAGTTCATAAAAAGTGCGGTTAAGATGTTGTTTATAAATCAAAACATTCCTCCATAAGTCTCTGATTTTAAAATCACCTCCTTTAATGATTCCAGATTTCACTTTCTAGTGATTCAATCATGCTGACAGATTCCAATTTCCTCTACTTTATCTTCGCGCCCTGCAGTAATTTATCATTTGAGCAACAAAATCAATTTGTTCCCCTGTCCGCTGCTCTGGCTGGGAGTATTCAGAGAGACATGTCACATCTCCCAGAAAACAACGAACACAATGGAGGAGGCTTCATTTATATTCCTGCTCCGCATCCGTCGATGCCAAATTTCAGCCGGTGCACACTTTCAATTAAAGCAAACAGCTGGATTGGTTTACAATATTTCCTTAATTATTTTAATGGCTCGGATATTGGACAATGGGGAGCAGGGGGAGAAGATAGTGAGTTAATTGTTCTGATCTCCCCTGATGATCATCTTTGTGTGCGGGGAGGAGAATAGACAGCCCGCTGAATGGGCTCACTGCTAGTCTAATTGGCAGGACATAAATGGTATTTATTATGCGAGGCCTTCCAAACCCTGATTGTCTGCGGCACAAAGCTGCCTCTATTAGCAGGGTGCTGGCTCTTACTGGTTGGTTTGAAATGACCCGGTGCTTAACCATTTATTAGATGGACTGTGGGCCTCCTTGTATGCCATGGATCTCTCTAATTGGCATGTTTACCCATGTGCTGCTTCCACCCGGCCGCTAACATTGGGACGTGTTTGTTTAAAATTTTGCCTTGCGGGGTTAAAACATTTAACCCCAGACATTTTGAATTGTTTACACTTCTGTTCTAGACAGATTCCAAACCCCTTTTTTTTTTTCTTGATCTGAGAACTTCCTTTACGGAATAATTCATCAGCTATTAGAGAGTCAGAGCATTACTGGGATCCCATTTCACCTCCCATACAAGCAAAGGAGGAGAAGATATTGAATATTTAAAATGTCCTGCTGTGAAGACAGCAACCAGACTGAAACAGAGAGTGTTTACGTCTCTCTTCCTTATTGCGGACATCAAAGGCGGCTGTCTGTTCTCTGTTTGCTCCCTAAACACTCGCCCTGTCTTGCTTTCTGCCTCACCTTGTCTCTCTCTCTCTCTCTCTCTCTCTCTCACTAATATCTGGGAACTCCCTGCCAAGGGTAAAAAAAAACAAAAACAACAATTTGCCACGTCCACACTTGTGTTTAAGTGCAAACCCCATACGTTTTCCCAAAGGCCCTCAGAAGCAGTCTTCTTCAGGATCTGGACCTCAGAAAACAAAACGGGTTGTCAGTTAAGAAAAGAGATCAAAGGCAGAGCGCCCTGTAGCCCGGGGTTACGCAAGTATGTCTGTTTAACTCTGCCAGAGATTCGTCCCGCAGTTAACGCTGCTCAGAGCCGAACAAAAGGACTCGCTGGGAGTCAGCAGTGGTGGAGGGAGAGAGAGAAGGGTGATGATGGGGGAGGAGGGGGGGAGGGCTCCGCTCTTTGACCCCAGTCAGTAACCTGAGTCACACCACAGTCCTGATAAAAGACCCCACAGATTAGTCACTTAATGGGGCCAAACATGGGAACTGGCACGTATTGGCCACAGCGTTTTAGCTTCCTACTTCTTTCTGTCAACAGCAAACATCCACAACTAAAGAGAAACCAATAATGTACAAAAATACCAGTTGAGTTGGCAAAAACACAATATCTCTGAAATATCAACACAGAAAATCTGTACTAGCTTGATGATCATGTTGTTAAGGTGAAATATTTGGCAAAAAATAGACATTTTTTTCAGCTAACTAAGTGCTTAACTGAGTGCTTCATTACAGAATTATCTGCTGATTATTTTCAAATCTATCGCTGAATCTTTAACAAAATGATGAAAATTGGGTACATAAGTCTGCAATTTTCTGCAATCGTCTTCAAATTGCTTTTTTTGTCCAACCAACAGCCAAAAATCCAAAATATCTTCATTTACTGTTACAAATAACAAAGAAAAACAGAAAATCTTCACATTTAAGAAGCAAGGGCAACACAATTTGTTTGACATTTCTGCTCGAAGAATCACTCATGGATGAGATGTGCTTTTTTTTAATTCATCATGAACCATACTTTAGAGGAAGTACTCAGTTCTAGCAGTAAACTGGAGTCTGATACATTATCTACAGTTTAATCAAAGCCAAGTCCCATGGCTATATTAGATGCAGTGCTGTACAAATTACAAAATAAACTGTTGATGCAAAAATCAAGCGCTGCCATTATGTATCACAGTAAATTGTTTATGTTTTGTTAGTCTGTAAGCAGGATTTTGTTATTACTCCGGGGGAGCTGAGTCGGACTCTTATATAATACGAACTAGAAGGTTAACTACACCAATTTGTCACATTATCACTGTTTATTCACTTCGTATATTTTGCTTTTTCGACCTTTCCCCGAGAGCAGGGAAATTCTCAAAAGTAGACAGAAAAATTTGTATTTTTATGATTTTTTTCTCTCAAGTTTCAGACGATTTCCTGAGTCCTTTTCAGGGTGTGATTCATAGCAGTACTGTAACATAGCTCCGCTGTCGTTATGTGTTTGCAGATTCATGTTGATTCTGCAATGTTGTAATATTGGTGTTCCAGACTGGAAATTCACATTGGACACAACGAGAGCTTCACATACACGCAAACTCAGACATGCACACACACAGCGCTGTTCTTCCCAGCTAGCTCCGACGATCCCCTCTCGCCTCTGTAACTACACAGAGGTGGAATCAGTTTCATGCAATCATCTTTCTTTGGTCTAATTTTTAATGTTTTGTATCTGTGAAGTAAATAACAATTTCAGACTTCACATTAAAGGAACAAAGTAAGATTTGCACTTGAAATATGTTGAAGAGTTTCCCAATATGAACGTTTCAATGTTGACCCTCTAAAACACGATCGCACTGAAGCCACTTTTTTGCTTTGTATGTTTGTTTGATGTCAGCTTCATGTTTTTTTTATCATTTATCTTATGTCTAGTACTAAGCAGCATGAGCCCCAACATGGAAAAAGGTGTTAAATATATTCACAAGAAAGCCATAAAACTAACTATGTCATGTCACATGTTACACTGCAGTTATCATGAATCCACCTTATGTGACTCGTGTGTCAAACGCCCATCAATGTGCCATAACATGTTCCTAGTAAGTCAGACACACTTGCCAGCACTCACCTGTTTGATACACAGCAGACGGTCATTGGTCTGCTGTATGTGTCTGTCCATCGACGGAATCGAGTTCATGTTGATTGTCCCTCTTCGGCCTCTACCTGCCAGCCATTAAACTGCAGCGCTCTGCAACACAAACACAGACATGTGTTACCGCTCAGCTCTTCTCAGGGAAGCTGCCAATCCCATCACCACCAGGATATTGCAGTTTAGTGTGTATATATATATGTGTGTGTGTGTGTGTGTGTGTGTGTGGCTGTGAGCTGAACAGAGGGAGGGGGGTATTGATTTGGCAGGTGACAAGCACCTCAGAGAGCCCAGAGGATGACATCGCTCTCTGCCGCTGTGACACCCTCAACAAGCCTGGCAGTTGCCCTGAATGCACACTGGATGACTTAAGAGAAGATGTCTGACCGTGTTTGAAGCACCTCGGGGTGAAAATGACACACACGCACACGCACGCACACACACACACACGCGCACACACACACAAACACACATACACACAAACACACACACACACGTAGAGCTTGCCGCCAGTGTGTCAGGAAAACTGCATGAAGCTCCTCCATCCTGGCCTATGAGAACATTTACTTGGCATGTGGCTCTTTGTTTACATTACTTAGCCATTATGTAATCTTTGGTTAACAATTATGTGTACCCTGGGCCCATGCATGCTCTACATTTTTCTCTCTTTCCCCTCCTCCTTCTCCTCTTTGCTACATAAGAGTTCCTCTAACAAAACCCCTTACAGCGCACTATTGATTCTGGAGCAGCAGCTTATGGAAAACCTCTCTCTCTCGCTCTCTCTCTCGCTCTCTCTCGCTCTCTCTCTCTTTTTTTTTTTTTCCAGGGGAATCATTTTTCAAGTTAGGCAAACAATAGAGCGCTGATCTGACACGCTACATAACATTATCACAAGTTAAAAAGTATTACAAGCTACATTAAAGGTTATCAATTCCGCCCGTGGGGGTTTGATTTAATGTTGCGTTCAGCGTCAAATAGATGTCACACACGGGTTGTCAGCTCTAACTCAAAGTGACCTGCAGCTGCAAGTGGAAGGGTGGGTTGAGTTATTAAGCACATATGGGTGCTGAGGAGAGTGTGACCCCCCCCCACCCCCCTTTTTAACCATATTCCCAGACCTTAATGTCTCTCTTTATCTCACCCTGTCACAATCTTTCCTCTTTGCTTCTGTAGGCACATGGTCTCTCACTCAAACACTCGCCCTCCTCCTCCATCACTGAGACCCCCCCCGCCCCCCAAAAAAACTCCATATTTCTCCATTACCATCACACAGTGAGAGAAATTTCTCTACACAAAGTAGCGGTGAGATGACAGAGAGAGAAAAGAGAGAGAGGAGGCAGTATGCTGCACCACACTGATAATGCTCACTTAGGGGTCTCTAGCTGGATTTAACGGCAGGGCCAGTAATCTACTCCACTAGACAGCTAAAGAGCTTTTATGCTACCTAACAGAGCTGCTCATGCCTGTACTTGAGAGGAGAGAAGGGCACACGAGTGCATTTCTCTCCGTAAAGAAAAAAGAGACATCGGAGGAGCTTTTTTCTTCACACTGCCTTACTGGCCTTTTTTTTTTGCAGATGGAAAAGTATGAATATGTCAATATTTTGGAGTTGGATCTCTGAGACTTAAGGGATGTCTGGGCTCTCCAGTTAAACACCTTTGGTGACTTTAATGGCAGAGATTCTCTCCATCTTCCATTCTCCATGTTTTTGTAGTTATTCTGCATTTCATCGCTCGTGTCAAGTTATTTTTCAGCTGTGTGCTTTTGGTTTTTTTATGTACCAGCTGCTCCGACCAATTTTCCCCAAGTGCGATTAATATATTTATTGCTTGATTAAATAATTGATTGAATGTACAAAAATAAAAAAGCAATAAATGATAAGTTGAACAATTGAGCCATGCAATTTCAAAAATGAAGACATACGCAAAAGAAACCCCCCAAAAAAATCAAAAAGGGAAACAAACTTGACTCAATAGATTAAAATTAAAGAGAAAAAAAACTCCAAAATACTAGAAATAAAAGACAGACAACTAATGGAAAACGTTGTCTTTTACACATTTTCATTCTGGATATCAGCCTGAGAGATCACATACATGTATATACACTGACTCTCTTTACATCCCCCCCTCATGTTGCTGCTCCCTCTCATCATCCACCCTCTCTGTGCCAGCTGATACTGAGCCCCCCTGCCTGTGAATGCATCGTGTCCCTCAGCCACCAGCAGGTGTCTCCCTGGCCCCTTCAAAGGCCCTGGCTAGTGGCACAAAGAAGGCGGAGCGGTGTTGCTTTAAGCCCTTACAAGCTCTACAAATCCTCAGCTGCTGCTTCCTAACAGGGCCCACTCAGCCCGCCACTGCCTGTCTGACCTTGTGGTTATTGATGAGCGAGTCGACCTGCTCTCGCTCTCTCTCCCTGTTCCTCTTCCCCCCCCCTGCCCTTCCCTTCACTCTCTCTCACTCTCTCCCCCTTTTACTCTAACAGTGAGTTAAAATGAAGCTGCCATTCACCAACCCAGCTTCTTTTTTTTTCTTCTAACACACCTCGTAATGTAGCTTGTGACCGACACGTACATGAAAACTTTGTCCATCATTTACATTCATTTGCCTCCTAAGATTTGACAAGACAGTGCTGGGGAGTAATTTAATTTCCCGATATTCACTCGGTCTAATTAAACACTCGTCCTTTGTTATATCTTTAATGACTAACAAGAGCCAAATTAAAGATTAAACCGGTGATGCTGGGAAGATATGACAACAGATGCAATTATGAGCCCTTCCTCCGCTATTTACATGCTTCTTTTCTATCTCGCAGATGTTATCATTCATTATTCTCCCTGCGCCATTACCTAATGTGAACTTATTCGCCTTGATTTCCGCTAGTTACCCGCGGAAATCTGAAGAGAAAAAAAAACAAGAAGCTGTGCTGATACATGTGTTCGAGCTTAATTCACTAAATTACCAGGCAGGCGTTACACAACAAGTTGAGCGCTGTGGATTCCTTCACAACAGAAGACACATACGAGGTGGGGAGGAGAGGAGGAATGGGACCTTGCTTCATTTTCCTATTCAAGGGAGAGCTAAAATATATGTATTGAGTGGGAGCTGTAATAAAACGAAACGGGTGAAGAGATGCAGGCTGGGAACAAATATGAAAGGCAGTGGAGGATGGCGGCAAGGTGATGGAGCACCACCGGAGGATTGGATGAAATTATCTCTTTATAATCAGGGGGCTTCTGCATGGCTGCCTCCTCCATTGCCCACTGACAGATGAGGCCTACCACTTCAAATGGGCTTTTTCACAGACCTATCAGACCACCTCGAGGGGTAAAACAATGTTTTTCTTCCCCTCCGTACCACCACTTTTAAAGCTTTCTTTCTGCACGGCCCCCCGGCGGGAACAGGATTGTCTCCCATCGGGGCTGGGTCTCATGTTTGTCTCATTACGTGATCATGTTACGTAAGTGTACCTTGAAAAGAGCTGCGGATTTAATTCGACGACAAATATGTGTCACCGGAAGATGCTTAACAACGCTGAATGGAGACGCTAAAGCAGAACATTATCTCAGTAAGTACGAGGAGATTGCTTTTTGAACTGTCACAATCGCACAGTTTGGAATCTAAACATCATTTCAGACGGCCAGAAAAAAAAAAAAACCCGACCCTGCATCTTCAAAGAGAGTTTTCTAGCTTGTTAATGTAACAGAGACAGCTCCGCAGGATGAAAAAAAAAACAGTCTGAGGGAGAGAGGAGTAGACAATGATTAGCTTTATCCCACCATCACAGCAGAACAAATGGATCACGAACCCTCGCAGCTTTACACAGTCCCTCAGCTGAGCCGTCAAGGCACAGGGAAGTGGTAAACAGATTTAATTTATTCATATAAATGGCTTGTGAACCAAAACAGTCAGGCTACTCTGGGGCCAGGCAGAGTGCTGCTAAAAAGATATTCACAGTTTATTACAACGTGGGTCTATATTTGTAGCTGTGGCCACTAGTTATGAAATCACCGTGCTCACAAAAGTAAATAATAGATTTAGAGATTTAAGAGAGCAATTATTTCTTTCTGAATACCGATTCTGGCATCGTTTTAATGAACACCTAAGGGGTTTTACCACAAATCCTCCATGTATATGTAGTATGAATACTGTTTGACTCAGTACACTGAAGAAATCCTGACTTAACCAGCTAAGGACCCCCAAAGTCAGGCTAACGTAAGCTACAGCTCTGCTTCCTCTGCGAACATTTTTATGTCCACCAAATAGTGTCAAAAGACTCCTAATTTATAACCCTGGCTCTGCTTTATTTCATGTTATCGCTAGTTTGTATTGTCTTTACTTAAATAAAGATACGGCTTTGAAATAATGAGAATAAAACACTGAGCTAACATTTTACTCGCGTCAACGTCCATTAGCTTACGTTGTCCACTAGCAATGGTGTTCTTCTCTGCTGCTGTCAAACAGTTGTCGCTCGTGCTGTAATTGTATTTGATAGGTTACTATTTTAGATTTAAAGAGGCAAAACAAATCCTCGAAGCATATTGGTGCATTGAGTGGACTATTTGGCGATATTTACTGCATCGTAAAGATGTCTGCGGCATAGCCAAAACTAGATTAAGGGTAAACATTTGGGAACAATGAAGCAAAGTTTCAAAGAGCAGTAAGTGAGCTGCCAGAAAGATAGCTGTAAATAAGCTAACTGCTGAGCTGGACACTTGTATACATGTTTTGTATACTTGTACTTTTTACGAGTTGATTTTAAAATCAGTGCTTTCACTTTACTGTACTTTGTTTTGTACTACTTCATTTAAATTAGGATATTACCAGGGGAAAAAAAGAGGAACAAGACTTCTGGCCGAGATGAACATGGCTGAGTCATACCTACGTGGATCCAGCTCAAAGCCCGGTAATGTTGATGAGTAACCAGAAGAAAATGAAGTGAAGCCCTGGCAACATTTAAAGCGTCCAGAACAGTCCCAAGTGCAAGAAAGACAATAGCTTCATCATGCAGTGCAAGCTTCATATATTTCTGTTTAAATTCTAAGGATTAAGGACAGTAATGCTGTTCCTTGAATTAAACAACCTGGTTGTAGTTACATATTA